CCCCAAAACCCCAAAACCCCATGAATCAAATTGTAAAGATTCCAGAATGATAATTATATCCAAGAGGTTAATATTTATTATTAAAAGATGATAATATAATCTAAAAAAGGAGAAGGGAATCATTACGAGTCAATGAAGGAGAATTCCAAAAATAGCAAAGTTGTTTAAAGGCAATATTCAGAGCCGTATAATGATTCACTTTCCAAGCCATCAACCATAAAGACTTAAATATTTCAAGAAGAGATGAATAAGCTAATTGAGAGTGGTAAAAAGAATCAAGGTCTTACTTACAATGAGGCATTGCTGGCAGCAGGAGGATTTGGTCGCTTTCAATGGTTCACATCATTTTTTATGATAATGCTTTACAATTCAAGTGGGTATCTGTTTTATGGACTTGCTTACCTCGAACTATACCCAGTTTATAAATGCCCAACGGATATTCCTAAATGTGATCATACTGATAAGTGCAGAGATCCCTCAATTCAAGTTGATTGGAGTAATGATAAATCTCTTCACAACTGGGTTGAAAAATTAGATCTCACATGTGCTAAGCCCTTTTAAGTAGGTCTAATCGGATCAATGTTTTTCGCTGGGTGGACAGCTGCATGTATTATAGTGCCTAGAATAGGAGATATATATGGGCGCAAGTGGATTGTTTTCTTCAGTTAATTTCAATCATTTGTTGTGTATTTAGCTCTGATATTGTCTTAGAATCTAAACTTTTCCATCGTGATGATGTTCTTTTTAGGATTGACTTCAGTGGCTAAGGTCGGTACATCTTATGTTTACTTACTAGAATTGGTACCCTAGAAAAGTGTTACTGCTATATCTACAATTGTCTTGTTTGCAGACGGTTCTACTATGATTTGGATCTCCCTCTACTATAAATTCATATCTAATGAATGGTTGTATCTTCAAATTTTTGGTATTACTATTACTGGGCTTTCAAATGTTACTATGCTTCTAATGCCTGAATCTCCTAAGTTTTTCTATAGTATAAAAAAGTATGATTTAGCTAGGAAAAGTCTCAGATACATTGCTAGATTCAATAAAGTCTAAGATTATGAAGATTGTGTCTTTGATACTGAATTCCAAGAAATTATGCTCTAGACCTCTAATGCTAAATAATAAGAAGTAAAAGATCAGGGAGTTAATTTGAATGGAACAGATTAAGATTAATTTAAGGCCTTGCTTAATCACTATGAAAAAGAAAACTTGGATAATGCCACAGCAATATCATAAAACAATAATGAAGCAAAGGATTTAAAGAAATAGGAGGAAGATGATAGTGAGTTAGATGGATCAATGAAAATGCTTTTAAGAAACAAGAAACATCTTACAAATCTATTGATTCTATGTTTCCTT